ACTGGCTGGGTGCTGGCAGGCTTGCACCTGGCACGGGCACCGTAGCCAGACCGTGCCCCTTTAAGGGCTCCAGGGCCGGGAGGGGGGCAGAAGAGTTTCCCTGATGGTGCCCAGAGTGGACACCAGGGAAAGCTGGGGAGGGCTAGCCTCCCACTAGTTCGAATTAAGTGGCTACACAGCCCTTAATTCGAACTACTTAATTCGAACTAGGCGTTAGGCCTCGTAGAATGAGGTTTACCTAGTTCGAATTAAGCACTCTGCTAGTTCGAATTAGCGGTTTGTATGTGTAGCGCCTATCAAAGTTAATTCGTACTACCGTCTGTTAGTTCGAATTAACTTTGTAGTGTAGACATACCCACAGTGAGCAGTGGAAGCTTGAAATGTTGCACATCTGTCCACCCTTTGTGACAGTACACTGCAGTGGTCCGTATTCTGTAGAATGAAAGTCGCTATTTCTTGCAACTTTCTCATCATCTTTGCTTCCTGTTTCTCTGCAATTATTTACCTGGGGTCCATGCTGTAAGTCCAAGATACGTTCCAAAAATCTTGAAGTTATAGTGAAACAACTTAAAGCGGGGAATTTTTTTCCCATGGCTGACTTCCATTTAAGCAAATTGAGGGGAGTGTTTCGCACGACTTATAGTGACAAATGGGAGGACTTATAACGCATCAGTTCCTACAAACGTCATCGACTTCAGTAGGGAATGGATGTATACTGAGGCAACTTACAGCGGGGACCCCCTGTATCTGTAAACCTTGTATTGGTTCCCAATGAACTCCCTCTTCTCCTCCACAGTCTGTTGGGCCGATGACCTCACTTGACTCAGGTCAAACATTTTTCAGTTTTTGTCAACTAGCTTGCTAATCTTTCCAGTGCCAAATTCACACCTGATTTGATGTGATGAAAGTGAGGTGAAGTCAAAAGGTGCCCATTCGTTTAATTCATTCTTTGCAAACCTCTTATTCAGATGATCTCACAGCAGGGAGATGAAACTTAAAATAGGTTCCCTGTGGAATTGTCCATCTGCTGTGCTTGATGCAGTTATATTTTTTATAGTGTTGCTCTAAGGCAGTGGTCACCAACCAGCAGATGGGGATCGACCAGTAGATCTTGGAGCCTCTTGCAGGGGATCCTGATTGGTTTGGGCAGGCGGCTCTCAACCACTGGCACATCAGTTGTCTCTCCCTCCACTTTCATGCTGGTCTTGCCCTCTGCCTTGGATCTGCCCCTTGGGAGCTTCCTTCTTGCTGTGCAGGGTATGGGAGAGAGAAGGGGGGGGTGGATGTCAGGGTGTCCCTCCTCCCCTTACTTCAGTACCCAGTCTCCTCACAGACAAGAAGGGATCGAGGGAGCTTAGCAATGCAAATCTCTGTGTGTCTCTGTCATTTTCACAAACACCGACTGTCCTTCATTCATCTTCCGACACAGCACACACATTTGGGGTGGCTGTTACTTCTTTTACTTTTTGCAAAGGGTTTTTTTTGGTTTTCGACTAATCTGTGCATTTCATCATTTTCATCTCTCACTTACACTTAGATTTAATTAGTAGAATAGTGACTTCTAAAATGCCTAACCTGTCGTGGCTGAGTAATTCTCCCTGTGCTCATTGCTGCTCCTGCAAGAGGCTGGCATACCCCTGTAGCCCCTGAGAAAGGCGAAGCAGGGGGTCCCCACATGCTGTCCTTGCCTGCAGACACCGCTCCTGCAGCTCCCATTGACCAGTAACAGGGAACCATGGCCAGTAGAAGCTGTGGGCTCAGTGCCTGTACATGAGAGCAGCACATAGAGCCATGGAACCATTACTGTACATGCCAGCTGCTTTCAGGAGTGGTGCAGGGCCAGGACAAAATGTTTAAATAGCCACTTCACTACGTTTGGAAGTTTAAATGAAACAGTCTCATTTTCTTTGACTCAAATTGTCCTTTTTGGACTGAGGAGCTGCAAAAGACCTTACGAAGGGTCTTAAAGGTGTCTCTATTCACTTCATCATTGGCCAGTGGTTCCACGCATCAACTAAACTCAAGTCTTCTTCTCGATGGACCACGCAGTGTTGTGCTGTTAAATGTAGGATGCACAGTTTGAATTGTGTGGCAACACCCTTGTTTTTCCCTAGCATGACTGCAGCACCCTCTGAAGTGAACATCACCATTTTTGTCAGGTTCAGTTTATTCCAGGTGTAAAAGTGGTATTTTTTTCTGGACCAACTTCAGATGGTGCTACACCGAGCTCTCCCTGCTCTGGGCTCTCTCCATCTTGCTCACTGGACCAGTGGCATTTTTTTATGATGCTGCAAATGGAGAAAAAAAAGCATCACGATGCTCCAACTCATGTGTGTTGAATGTCCACATTTTTGCTCCTCTCATGGTTCTATCTTGTTAGATTCCATCCATTAAGGTCTGACATAGTTCCCAGGGATGTGGGACAGGAACACTCTGCCCCATTGTTCTATTCACTGTCCCCTTTGGCCTCCTCTTTGCTGTCCCCCAAGTGTCCAAACCTTCCTCCTTAGTTACACTATGGAGAATTGCAGTGAGATACGGCGGCGCATGGAGATCTCTGCGAACAGCAGCATGAACCTGGTTCTTTACTTTTTAGTTAAGAGCTGCAGGAAGTGGGATTTGAAGGGATCCATCAAGGTCATACTCCAGAGTGGCTTTGAAAGGAGGGTGGATCTCACAGTGGAGGGAGAAAATACCAGGGCCAACCCAATGGAGATAGTCAATTAAATTCCTACAGTGCTCAACCTGGGAGACACTGCTCTGGGATGGAAATTTCCCCACATCACAGAATCAAAGAACAAACAGCTAATTTATCAGCATAAAAAAAATATTGACATATTGCACCCTCCGCAAGGCTGCATTTATCTGCCCCATAACAGCTTTCTACTACATCAGTCTCATCTGATTTAATCTTGGGCCAGCCACTTCCTCCTCATTTAGGGGAGCAGGACCAATGTGCAGAGCCCTGTCCCTTGATGTTATCAGATCACCCCGTGATCATGATACCTCCAGATGCCGTCGTCTCTGTGTCCCACCTTCCAGTGTGGGCAGGACAGTTCTCTGCCAACTCTTGGCAGCCGCTGGGGGCAGAAGCTGCACCAGGACTGGCAGGGACACCCTCTGCACCAGTGTAACAGACGATTGCTTGGAAAATATGCCCAAGAAGTTCCTCTCCGGAGAATTGCAGTTAGTGAGCATGAGACACTAGTCGATTTAGTTGGGATTGGTCCTGCCTAGAGCAGGGGGCTGGACTTGATGACCTTCTGAGATCCCTTCCAGCTCTGTGGTTCTATGACACTGAGATTCTGAAGTGAATCCAGACCAGCCCAGCTCCTGTAAACACGGGGTTTGTGCCCCAGGGAGGAAGGCAGGTGAGGGACGGCTGGTAGGATTCACTGCTCTTTGCCACCATTGATTAGACAGGATTATTCTTTCTCACTTTCCTCTCCCCACCCCCCAACTTGCATGCTGTTCCCTGGCCATCTGTTTCTGTCCCAGTTCTGTGTCTCTGTCCTTGTCTGTCTGTCCAGCTCTCTCCCAGGTTTAATTTTCTCTCTGCCACTTGCTGTCAGTCCAGGCTGCTCCCACCCCTGGGCCTTTCTCCATGTTTCTCTCTGTCCCCAGCATCTCCCAAAGCCACTGGGATCGGCTGGTCCAGGGCAGGAGGCTGGGGAGGGGCTGGAATGAGCAGTGATAACACAGAGCTGGGGGGGTCAGTTGCTGATTCCTCCATCTGCTCTCTGCCAACAGGAGTGTGCAAGAGAGGGGCAACGGGGGACACCAGCATCCCGCAGCAGCGGTTCCATGATGGCCGAGCTGAGCACACAGACCCTGCCACCAACAACCTCTGTCTGGGATTACGAATATGAACATAACGACACTGGATGCCCAGAGTTTGATTCCCTTCCCGTGACCTTATACAGCTTCTTTCTGACCCTCTGCCTGTTAGGGCTGGTGGGGAACGGGATTATCCTCTGGTTCCTGGGCTTCTGCATGAAGAGGAACCCCTTCACCGTCTACATCCTCAACCTGGCCGTTGTCTACACTGTCTTCCTCCTCTGCTCGGTTGTCTTTCTTGTAGCTAACATGGTGGGATATCTGCTTTGTGACAATCCCACGTTTATTTACACGTTTCCAATACTGTGTTTGTGGACATACAGCACCAGCCTGTACCTCCTGACGGCCATCAGCACGGAGAGGTGCGTGTCCGTCCTCTACCCCATCTGGCACCGAAGTCGCCGGCCAAGGCACTTGTCTGCCATCGTGTCTGCCCTGCTCTTGGCTCTCTCCTGCCTGCTCTGTTGTTCCATGGTCATTTTTTGTCAAGATCTCACCAATGAAAGCTGTTTTGCTTCCCTCCTAAATGTTTTTGTTGTGAATGTCCTGATATTCTCCCCCATCATGGTTCTGTCCAGTCTGACCCTGTTCATCAAGGTGCAACGGAGCTCCCAGCAGCGCCCGCCTGGCAAGCTCTATGCCGTCATCCTGCTCACCGTCCTCTTCTTCCTCTTCATCACTATCCCGCAGTGTTTTGTGTTTTTCCTCTCCTACCTGGACATTGATATGTTTTGCGCGCTGGCCTGTGCAAGCAGCAGCATCAGCCCATTAATTTACTTTGTAGTCGGGAGCTACGGGAAGCGGCGATTCTGTGGCTCTCTCAAACTCGCACTCCAGAGGGTTTTTGAAGAGCAGAAAGATTCCGGGGAAGACAGAGACCCTCCCATCAGAGACCCAATAGAGACGGCTGTTTAAATCCCTTCAGCAGCCAGCCTGGGAGACCCTTTCTGGAGATTTCCCTAGATCCTGTTATCAAAGCACATAGCAAGGGAAAGGACCTTCCTAATTCTTGCCCACCCCTGCCCTAGTGTGGATCCCCAGGGCTCATTTGTCGCTGTCAACCACCAATAGGTCTTCCAGGGCCTGGTCTGGTTGCCATGGGAATCCGTTTGGCTTTGTCTCTTCTCTAAAGGATGCCTCTCAGCCACTCGCCCTGTAAATAGGCAGAGTAGCACTGTGGGGAAGTCTGAAGAGCCCAAGAACAAGAATAGCACTGCAGTGGCCAGGAGAAATGTTTGGGGGCTGGGTGTGGAATAGTAGCAGAATGAATGCAGGACTTTCTCCATGTAATGCATTCCCCGGTCGGCTCCCCTGCACAGAGACACTTCCATGGATGACAGTCACAAGGGATCCTTCCACGCAGCTCTGGCCTCCTGCTGATTCCAGCTGAGATTTGAATCACTCCCCTTTGTGCCGATGGCAATAATACAAACTAACCCACAACCGGTCAGATTTGAATCCATCTACCCACATTGCCAGGTGGTGAGGGAGGCCCTGTCCCTGGCCATTGGAGAGACAGCAAGAGGAGATCACTGAGCGCAGAGGTAAGAGGACAAGGTGGCCTGTTTTGGAAGAGGAGCCATGTGCAGGACTATGGACCCAGGACCTGCTAAGGGATTCTGAGTTTCATCCCACGCATGCACCAGCATAGTGAGGAAAGTGAGGCAGGGGAACGGGCTTGGTGTTTATTGCAGTGTCAAGATTTGTCGTGCACTTACTACAATAAAGAGGGATTGGTTTGAAACCCTTTTGTAAAGGCCGTGTGTGCGTTTGCTTCACTGTCTGGTCTCCTGAAGAGCGGCCTGGTAAACCCAGGCTGCTCGCCGGTTTGTGGGCGGAGAAGGGGTGTGTCTACGTATCCCTCATTACAAGCAGGTGCTATGGCAGTGAGTTCTCCCTGTTCCACCTTCCAGAACACAGTTCAGCAAAACTCAAACTTCTGGAAATGCAGGAGGTAAGGTCCAGGACAACACAACCTGCAATGCTGTGATGTGTTGGCTGAGCAGGGTGAGGTAACGCCACCTCCAAAAAACTCTCATAAATTGAGAGTCGGGCTCCAAGAACTTCTGGGATTGCTTTCAATCAAGAGTAAAAACAACCAAAATTATATTAGGTTCTGTCATTGATAGGTTGGGTTCGGAGTCTTTTGGGTTTGTATTTTCCATCTTTTTTTTTAATAACTCACTTTTTCTTAAATGAAAGCAAAGACTCATGATTCTAGGAGCTGAATGATGAAGAAGAACATCAGTCACAGGGTGGATGGGGTTCCTTGCAGGGGAAACAGATCCAGCACATCTGGACCTCATTAGCAGATTTGTGATTGGATCTGAAAGAGGGCAGCTGGTGTCTATAAAATGCCAGGGGGTAGCTATGGCAAAGAGAGATTAGCAAACTAGACTCCAGCAGGTTGCAGAAGGTCAAGGGCGAGTTTGAGACCACAGGACAGCCAGCCAGGCCTGGAACTAGGTCACTGAAAGCAGGGAATTGAGGTGGACAATGTGGACTTTATTTTGAGTTTTGTCTGCAATTGAAACATTAATAAATCCAGACCCTAAAGAAGGATGTTTGCACAGAAAAGCCCGTGTGAGAAGTCTGAAGAGCCCAGGACCAAGGGAAACTGAGGCAGAGTTTCACAGCACTATCCCTGGCCAGGAGGAGGAGTGTGGGAGCTGGCCAGCCCTTCTACAGTTACAAAGAAGGTACACGTTTCTTGCAGGTTGCTACAGTCTGACTCTGAATCCAGCCCTCGGATCATAGGAAAGATGTTTGAGTTTCCTCAGTGACCCAGCTGAATTCCTCTAGAGCTTTTCCTCTCCCTCTGTGAAGGTCTCTTTCCTCAGCTGGATTTCACATCACCTCTGCTGCACATGGCTCCCAGCAGGCCCTGAGATTGCTGGCCTGGTGCAATTTCTGAATGGTCACTTGCAGGGAACAAGTGTGAGAAATGGGGACACTTTTTGTCAGGGTTTATAGTTGCATAGGTAAGGGGACTGTTAGCCTCTTACTAAAACTCAGTGGGAGTTTTTGGTTGACCAGCTCCCAGTACCAAAAGGGGAAGGGTCCATGAGACTGACAGACCCCCAAGGACAATGGAAAGAGGCCAACACTCCAGCTCAGCCTGATTGACAGGTTGGACCCACCAATGAGGAAATTAGGAGGCCAGGTCCCATCTTCCGTGTGAGCTGTGCTTAGGGTTGCCAGGTGTCCGGTATTGACCCGGACAGTCGGGTATTTTCGCCTCCTGTCCAGTTTAAAAAAATCAGAAAATACCAGACACCAAAAATGGCCGGTATTTTCTGACTTTTTTTCCAGGTCAGGAGGCGAAAATACCAGACACCTGGCAACCCTACGACACACTCAGCAACTAGGCCCAGCCTCCGGCCTCCCTCTGTCCAGGGCCCCCAATGCCCCCAGCTTCCCACCTCCGGACCCCCTGCTTACCTGGGGGAGGGGGGGGTCGATGAAGAAAACAAGATGGATGCTGGCAAAAACCCTACAGACCTGAAGCAAGGGGAAGCCATGCCTTCCCTGGGTCTTAGTGCTTAACTGCTTCCTATCCCTATTCTGGCTGCATGCACTTAAAGGGGACGTGCTGTTTTGTTTTATTTTATTTTAATTTATTTCATTTGCTTAATAACTCTCAGGGTCCTTTTTTTTTTCTCAACAACTTTGGTCTTCCCCCCTTTTTTCCCCCCTCAACAGAACTTTTCCCCTAGTGTTTTTTTGGGGGGGGAGGGAGGGAGGTGCTGGAATTGTTTGTTAAACCATCTGGCAATCCTAGCTGGGATTTTCTGGGTCTCTCTGAGAAAAGGAGAGAGAGCTAAGAAGAGCAGCAAGAAGTGCAAATGGGCAGTCCTGCGGTGTCAGAGCTAGACACACACAGCCCAAGGAGCGCAGACCCTGTGGTAAGAAGCAAACCTACAGTGACAAGAGAGCCAAAGGAGTCCGAAAAGCAAGGCAAAGAGCTGGAGGCTGGCAAAGCAGCACAGTCTGCAGCTGGGTGTGGTGAACAGCTGGGACCAGCAAAGTGGGGGGAGAGGCTCTGGGCAGAGAGACACCCCCAGCCAAGAGGCCCTGCAGCCCAGACTTGGAGAGGGATTGTAACTCCAACTAGTAGAGGGGGTCCTGCCACCTAGAGCCTGAAGTCGTGTGGTCACTGCCAGAGCAAGCATGTCCAACCTGCAGCTCCCCCTGCAGCACAGCCGAGGCCTGAGAAAGAGCCCTGAGACCTATAAGGAACAGACTGTGAACTGTCCTTACACTTTGCTGTTTGTGATGTCCCAGTGCTACAGAGCAGGGCTGTGTGTTCTCATTTAACCAGTCTCATTTTTTCTGTATTCTTTTCTTTTTAATCAGTTGCTGTTTAATAAATTGTATTTGCTTTGAACTGTATGTAATGATCAGTGGGTCAAGGAAGCATGCAGTGTGCAGAGAGCACCCCGGAGTGGGGACACCCTAGCCCCTGCCCCTAGTGACTACAAGGTTGGGGATTAAGCCCCAGAAAACCTGGGCCCGGCCTTGTTGGGATTTCAAGGACTCTGCTACTCAGGAGTGGAAGGGGAGCCCTCAGGGTCAGGGAGACCGTGGGGTAAAGGAAATGGGAGCAGGGACTCAGATCCTTTTGCTGGTCCGTTTCACCGGCGTGGTATAGAAGCCAGGAAAGTTCCCCACAATTGTAGGACCATTCCCCTGCTTACACATATATAAGACAAAGCCCCTGATACCAGGCTGGCCCCAATATCAGGGCATTCTGGTTACCCTATGTGCCGATTGCAAGTCTCTGTTTCAGCATAAGAAGCAGTGTAGTTTGTTCTCAGGTAATCTATATTTTTTCACTGTCCTGTGCTTGGAAAAGCTCCTCAGTCTCCATTATAAATCTCTCCCTTTGTTTTGTGAACTTGCCGGGTGTTTCCCAGGGTCTGTTCAGAACTTGCCACCTCTCCATTCCATTGTGAGTTGCCTCCTTTGTGTGTTCGGGGACAGGGAGAACCAAATCCAGGCTAGTCAGGTAGCTTAAGACACCCCCCACCCCGCTGGAATGGGCTAAAATAACCTTGGTGACAGACACAGAATAAGACTTGATGGTCTGAGACTCAGTCACTTTGTGTGGGCCTTTCCCCTACACTGGGGTTGAGGGGCAGATGTGAAAAGGTTGGACATGCATTAGCCGCTCTGGGGTTTGGCACCAAAAGAGTCTGACCCAGTTTTCAATCAGCTCAGCTGAAGCCATACACTTTAACATCCACAACTCCCCCCCCCCAAACAACATTTGCAGAATATTTGCAGTTTCCATTGAAAAATGGAACGAGATCTGGTTTGGGGGGGAGGCCAGGGTTGCAGTGTATGGATTGGAACCCACAAATTTACCAAAGGAATCCCTTATTAGTGTCCTGCCCTATTAGTATCCTGCCTGACCTCAGCTGGCAGGGGAAAATAGTGTGTCAGGAAAGCACTGGAGTGGAAGGAGCTACCTGATCAGTGCGTAACCCCAGCTTACAAAGCCCCCCACCTGCTACACTACCATTTTGCTTTTCTTCCTTAATCTCACAGCGACACTTGCTGGCCACTTTTTTATTGCAGCACCATGCAATGGAACTAGATTCACAGCTCCTGTCCTGGGGCATGGTTGCTGGAGAGGGAGGATGTCATGGGATAAGAAGGAAGGTGCTTTCATGGATTGATCAGAGAGGTAACTAATGGTGTCCCACAGGGGTTCATACTGGGACCAACCCTATTCAACATATTCATAAATGATCTGGAGAACAGTAAACAGAGAGGTGGCAAAATTCAGAGATGATACAAAACTGCTCATGATAATTAAGTCTAAAGCAGACTGTGAAGAGCTTCAAAGGATCTCTCAAAATTGAGTGACTGGGCAACAAAATTAATATTGATAAATGCAAAGTAATGCACATTGGAAAGCATAATGCCAATGATATGCATAAAATTATGGGGACTAAATTAGCTGTTACCACTCAAGAGAGAGCTCTTAGAGTCATTGTGGACAGTTCTCTGAACACATCCAAGCAGTGTGCAGCTGCAATCAAAAAAGCAAATAGAACATTAGGTATTGTTTAAAAAAGCATAGAGAATAAGACAGATAATATCTTATTGCCGCTTTATAAAACCATGGTACTCCCACACCTTCAATACGGTGTACAGGTGTGGTCGCCTCATCTCAAAAAAGATATATTGGCATTGGAACAGGTTCAGAAAAAGGCAACAAAAATGACGAGGGGTTTGGAACGGGGGCCATATGAAGAGAAATTAAAAAGACTTGGACTTTTCATCTTAGAAAAGAGGAGATGAAGGGGGGCTATGATAGAGGGCTATAAAATCATGACGGGTGAGGAAAAAGTGAATAAGAAAAGTTATGTACTTATTCCCACAATAAACGATCTAGGGGTTACTAAATGAAATTAATAGGCAGCAGGTTTAAAACACAAAAGGAAGTTTTTCTTCACGTGGTGCACAGTCAACCCATGCCCCAGAGGGAAGGATCACAACAGGTAATCCTCACGTGATCCCTCCCCTGTCACCCACCTCCAGAGAAACAGAAGCGAGGGACACCATTCCTCCTCATCGTGGTTAATAGCCATCGGTGGACCTAACCTCCATGAATCATGCACTGGGTAGGAGTAAAATATCTATTTTCTGATTTGTGCCTCACATCTCAAAAGTCATAAGTTGCCACCGGTAAATAGCCCAGCCTGGCATGTTCATGGCATTTAGCAGATTTTTTTTTTTGGGGGGGGGGGGGAGGAGGCAGATGTGCCAGGTGCCATATTTGATTATGGTTTGAAGAGCAAAAGACACAACTGGTGACAGGGCTGGGCACCTTACCCCTCAGTTCACTAGGGCACTTCAGTCTTTCAATGGTTGGGTCTTGCCTCTTTAGGCAATTTTTCCTCTAGTTTTTCTATCTACGTGCAGAATACATTTTGTTATATGCACTGAGATATGTGTGGATGTGCACCACCAATAGAAACATAGGTTGCTGGTTGTGGG